ACCGCACGTACGATATCTAATATAGTGGTGACGAAAGAATCACTGGTTGAGACAGCAGAAAAGCGTACTGTGTTTGCCTCAACAAAAGCGGATGCATCAGCAGAGACCGTTCACAAACTTCATGAATTCACCGAAGCTACGCCGCTTACAGTGGGGAAGACACTAAAACCAACAGATTCTATGGAAACAAACCAACAATCTGAGCCTGCAGGAAGCTCCACAACTTTCGCGATAATCACCACAGTCGGTGAAGAAGCCACCACAATCCACAAAGAGGCGAGTGAAGAGAAAGTGATAGATCATAAGTCTTATACTTTTGAGCCTACCATCATGGAATCTTCATCTTCTCTTGCAACGGAGGAGCTGCCTAGTTTAAGCAGATATAGAACTCTATCTGAAGCTAATGAGGCTGAACTACCTGATTCTACAGAAAATAACGTTGATGCACCATCAACAACAGCAGGTAGTGAGAGCACTGGAGAGAATGCACCTGTGGAAGAAAGCGAATCAACATCAGAAGTTGTTGCAAACGGTAAAATTTTTTTGGTTCCCCATGACTTTCATAAAAATGCACTTACAGGGAGCACTCGAATTTGGACCAATGATACTGACCAAACAGGCGGCAACAGCAGGCGAGTTAGCATGGAGCTTTAGTGATAGCCACTACTTGAGTAAAGGTTCCAAAAAGTCTACCTTAGCAATCTATTTATGATTCAACTTCAATCAAGCAACAATTTCTTCGACTGAAGGATTGAACTATGCGATTTACTTTAGGTTCAAAATACCACTCATCTTTGCCTTTTAGATATTGGTAGCCGTGTTTCATGCTGTAGTTTTCTCTAGTAACTTTTTCCATTCACGAAAATTGCTTGAACACACAATGAGTGAAATGATATGCCAGATGTCTTTGAAGCAGTTATTACTTGAACATACTTTGCACGTAGCTTCATTGAAATTCTTCAATCGTAGAAGCTACTACAAAATATGTTTGAAATTGGATTCAATTTTTGAGTTGATTGAAGAACAAGAATCAGAATGATGTTGCGCCTAGAGAGGTAACACTTTACAAGATAATCAATAATTCTACCTAGTATGTGAATTGATCTGAACCTGAAACACTCCAAACGCGGGTTGATGGACCTCTTGTGTGAACACTTTGCAAAGAAAAATTTTGATCAACTGATGCGGCAGGAAGTCTTTCTCAAACATAACTTTTGCACGTTTTTTCTCGTAACCATAGTCATAGTGAAGACAGAAAATTGGAAAAGGAAAAAGTGTAAGCACTAGGATCGCAAGTACTTCGGCTTTGATCCAAACCTTTGCCCATCAATAAAAATCATTCTAAATGCTTCAAACCACTTATCAGAACTTCCATAAATCTTAGACCAGATGAATATAGCTCATGCATAAAATATTTTCTAATCTAGTCACGAAATATGTTCTTCTACTCGTTCCTCCTCTACAAGTCTTCTCCTTGATTTTCCTCTATTAGTGTTACAAATGCATAGCTTAAGATTCAGCTTGCAAATTAAGTAGAGATAACATCTAGAAAGTAATTTATTATCTGTAACAACTATGTCCATTTCTTCGTACTTTTTCCAGTGCGGAACAAGCACTTCTATCTGGAAAGCAGCAAAGGTTTCTGATTGCTTCACTTCTGATCAGCTAACAAACTATCATTACTGCGTCTTTCAGAGCAGAACAGCCGTCAAAATTGAATGTGCACTACGATTATAATGGTATAATCAGGTAGTTATGCATGACCATACTAGTCTGAGTAAAAGTCATTGAGTACACGTCGAATTTCTCGCTTCACCCAGTTTTTAGCGTTGAACTGTTACTCGTGACCGCCCT